TTTTTTTTTTTTTTTTTTTTTATTTTTTTTTTTTTTTATTTTTTTTTGCCCCCCCCCCCCCCCCCCCCAGCACTCCTTTGGGGCCCCAGTTTGAACCCCTTAAATAGATATTGAATGCCATTAAAGAGCTGATTGTATACCATTAATCTACAGTTCATTTTATTATCTAAAAATGTATTCATATATTTTTAAGTGATTTTCAAATGTCTGAATACTTTTATGGAGCCCCCGGATTCACAAGCAGCCACAAACCAGATACTGAATCACAAAAACGCTGCTTTTCTCAGGGTTTCCCCAATTCTTACAGTCATTAAAATGGATTTCAGGGAGTTTTATCTTAAAACGAATCATCCTACCTGGTTTGTGGCTGTCAGGAGGAGCTAAACATTTTCTTTAATTTGGAGAAAAAGCCTTGGTCTTTCTGTTTGTGCCCTGTGCCGGTTTGATTTCTGCCCCCTCCTGGACAGAGACAGGTTCTGGTTTTAACATCAGCACCTCACGCGACTGCTTCAGTGATGCCTGTACCTGCAGTGGTGCTGGTCACTCCACTGACGCTTCCCTCCACATCGGTCTCGTCCTCCGCGTAACTCCTCATGAGGGCTCGTTGCCGGTCTGTCAACATCCTGGACAGAAGACATACGGATGCATCAGTCATTTGAACCTTTACCAGCAGCAAAACAAGTCCTTTTATCATTTGTGTGTAATCTTACTTTGGGATTTTGATCTTGATGTGGACATAGTGGTCACCGTAACCGTAGCCGCTGACCCGTGGAATACCTTTACCAGAGAGCCGGATCCTCTGGTCGGCCTGGACTCCAACTGGGATCTACAAGAACATTCACTGATTATATAAATGTGCTTAAATGCACAGGAATATCCAGATTTAAGGAGTAGTTCACCCTAAAAAAAATTTAAGTTTTCTGAAAACTTACTCACCCTCAGGCCATCCAAGATGTAGATGACGAGTTTGTTTCTTAATTCAGATTTGGAGAAATGTAGAATTACATCACTTGCTCAGCAATGGATCCTCTGCAGTGAATGGGTGCCGTCAGAATGAGAGTCCAAACAGCTGATAAAAACATCACAATAATCCACAAGTAATCCACACCACTCCAGTCCATCAATTAACAAAAACCTGCGTGTTTATAAGAAATAAACCCATCAGGATGTTTCAACGTTTCAACCATTGCTTTGGCCAAAATATGAGTCTATAATCCATAACATGCTTCCTCCAGTGAAAACGTCCATCCTCTGTCGTCGTCTCACATCAAAACCCACCAACATTACCAGTTTTAAACTGGTTTGGACTGTTTTTGCTTGTAAATGATGCTTGATGTGTGCATACTTCTCTCCTGATTCAGATGCGACGACTTTTTCACAGGAGAAAATAATATTATTATGAATAGAGGACTCGTATTTTAGCCGAAGTTTGAAGTTAAAAATGTCTTAATGATGGGATTGTTTTGTACAAACACACTTTCACTGAAGTATTTGTTAATCTTTTTCTCTTCACAAGACATTAACTGATGGATTGGAGTGTTGTGGATTATTGTAATGTTTTTATCAGCTGTTTGGACTCTCATTCTGACGGCACCCATTCACTGCAGAGCATCCATTGATGAGCAAGTGATGTAATGCTACATTTCTCCAAATCTGATGAAGAAACACACTCATCTACATCTTGGATGGCCTGAGGGTGAGTACATTTTCAGCAAATTTTCATTTTAGTTGAACTGCTCCTTTAATATTACAATATGGTCATGATAACATCCCCAAAATGTCCCACCGAGAGATTGACCGTCTCGTAGAGTCCTTGCGCTCTGACTGTGCCGCCCAGTATGGCCTGAGCCACAGAGACCAGGACATCAGAGTGGATGTCAGCGCCGTCTCTCCTGAAGATCGGGCTTTTCTGGACCTGAGAGCATCGACACAGACGATTAGCATCCAGTATACAAGCAAACAAACAGCCTAGCGGATGTGATCTGGGATTATACATGATCACGGCGGCCAACAGCCCAGAATATTCCTGCTTAATTCAGTCCATTCACTGCAAAGAGACGTCAGTCTTCAGACTGAGACACTAAGTGATGAAAGTCCTCATATTGGGACAGAAAGCCCTGCCAAGAGCACACGACAGATCATTTAAATGGGGAAATGGGTATATAGACATAAAAGCAGAATTGTTAACAAATATTAGCATTATTTTCATTATCAGCATCAGTCTAATTTATGGGAAGCAAATCAAAACAGGGCTTTCCTATTACTTCTGATTTCGGCTATACTTGCAAGTAAAATTAGAGAAGCAACAGAATATCTGTTTTAACTAAAAGCGCTGCTCCTCTCCACCGCTCCAAAAACAGATCAGACGGAAAACCTTGCGCTCGCGCAGCAGTACCCAGCGAGTCTCAGAAACTAAATAAGGTTCGTCCAAGAAGCCGCTAGGTACATTTTTGGAAAAACTAAAAAAAAAGTCGCTAAAGGGGACTGAAAAGTCACTAAGTTGGCAACACTGTGCATCTCCATTTCTCCAACTACATGCTAGGTATAAATATTATTAGACTTAAATATTACCGTGTGACACATGCTTTTGAAATCTGGTGGTGATGTACTCACTCTGAATGTAATGAAGATCTCTTTCTTCCCCACAGGCATTCGGACCGTCTGCCCATCCTCGATTCCTAAACACCACAGTAAACAAAACCTCAAAACTCAAACCGTTCCCTGAAAGCAGTCTCACTTCACTAAAGATAGCCAGCTAACTCACCAGCAGGAACAGGCACCGTGACGGTCCTCCTCTGTTTGGTCTGTCCCGTCCCTCGACACGCTGTGCAGGGCGAGGTGATGACCGAACCCCTCCCGCCACAGCGCCGGCAGGTTGAGCGCATCACAAAGGGCCCCGTGTTCACAGTCTCCTGCAAGGACGAATGACAGATGTTCAGTTATTGGACACGTCTATATGACTTTATGCACTGGAGGGCGTCACTTACCATGCCAGTGCCATTGCAGCTGCCGCAGTGCTGGACACTGGATCCGGGCTCATGGCCTCTGCCCCCACAGCGCTGACACGCGTCCTCGATATTGACCGTGATCTCCTTATTCACTCCTTTGGCAGCCTGAGCGAACGTGAGCTCCATCACATACTGTTAGCAAACAGAACAGAGTGTTTACTGATCGTCTAGGCCTCTATGATTTCCATGAATCATAAGCAGAATGTCATGGAATGTAGTGCTGTCAAACGATTAATCGCATCCAAAATAAAAGTTTTTGTTTACAGAATATATGTGTGTGTACTCTGTATATTTATTATGCGTTTATATAAATACACACACATACATGTATATATTTAAGAAAAGTATGTTGTTTATATATTAAATATATTTATATATAATAAATTATATGAATATAAATATATACATGTAAACGTGCAAATATTGTCAAAATATATACACATGCATGTGTGTTTATTTATATATACATAATAAATATACACAGTACACATTTATATTCTGTAAACAAAAACGTTTATTTTGGATGCGATTAATCGTTTGACAGCACTAATGGAATTTGACACATTTTGTTTGAAATAATAAATGAAGTAGGGCTATACAATAAATGAAATTCAAACAGCGACATAAAAGAGCATCAGTAATTATTAAATATATTATATATAAATTATTATAAAGGACTGCTATTTAAATATGAAGTCTCCATGTTCTGCGTGACTTGTGTGAATGAACGGCAGAGTTTTAATGAGCATTTCACCATTGCAATTGAATAAATCATACTGGCATGTCAAATGCTTACAGAAATTCAAAGGTCTTCATGACAATCAGCTAAAATAAAAGTCCAGTTTATGAATTATTATGAAATGCTATTAATATATTGTGCATTAATTAATAATATATTATGAAATGTATTACTACTGTAAAGTAAAATCTACTTCTCAAAGAAATAATAAAAAAAATACCAATTGTTATTATAATAATAATTATTAATATTCTATTATTAGTATTATTTTATGGTTTAAGAGATTTTTTTACATCCAAGTTTTAATTTATACAGTAAAGTTCTGTTGTGTAAGGTGTAGAACTTTATTTGACCAAAAAAAAAAAATGTAAATTGATTAATTTGTGTAGTTTTATGAATTCAATTAGACATGCTTTTAATGACTAAAATTGAATTGAACCATTCAAGTGGAATCCAGAAAAATTCAAACGTAAATCATACAATTTTGAAAATAAATAAATAAAACAAAACATAAAAATGGAATTTGGGGGAAAAAAAAACATTTGATTTTGGGAAAATATAAAACTGAATTTGGTAAAAAAAATCTAAATTGGGGGAAAAATGTTTTAACTAAATTTGGGGGGGAAAAAAAACAAAACACAAACTGAATTTGGGAAAAATAACACTGATTTCATAGAGCCCTAATTGCCCAATGTATATTGAACACAAAAATATCACCAGCATGCTCTAATCTGATTGGCTGCCTTCACAATTTAATCAGAACACACTAGAACTCTCCAGAAGAGACCACATCTGACCTCTTGTGGCTGATCAAAGATGGCACTGAAATCCCCAAAGCCTCGAGCTCCGGAAAACTCGCCAAAGATCTTGCGGAAAAGCTCCTCGGGGTCGATGCTGCTCCCTCCGCCCCAGTACTGCTTGTGTCCCGCGCTGGCCTGTCCCGCGTCAAACCCAGCAGAGCCGTACGTATCATACTGGTTCCTCTTCACCTCGTCACTGAGCACCTGAGGACAACACATCAGCGCAATGCAAACTCATTACTCCTGCCGGACACACTGACAGCACAGAGGAAACGCTGCAAACCTCATAGGCCTCAGCTAGCTGTGCAAACTTCTCCTTCGCCTGAGGGTCGTCTTTGTTAGTGTCTGGATGATACTTCTTTGCCATCTGAATCGGGGGAAAACACAAACTGTCAACTGTCAAAAATGAGACTGATCTAGTCGTCACACTCTTTACTCTAGTGAATATTTCATGTAAATGTGGAAAATGGATTGAATAATAGAAACCTGCTGTTTATTTTGTGACGCTCTAGTTTGAATGCTGTAAAAAAAAAAAACCGGGCCAAAAGTAGATTTATAATACCAGCAAACACAGATTTTTTTTTTTATTATTATTAAAAAGTATAATAATGTAAAATGCTAAAAAATAAATATATATTAAATTATATTACAAATAGATTTAGTACAAATAAATATTATTAAAATATATCAATTATGAGTAGTGGTCGACCGATATTGTTTTTTTTGACAGCCGATGCCGATATCTTGTAAAGCAGGGTGGCCGATATAATTGCATTTATTTTAATTAATATTTAAGAAATTTGAAATCATTTGAAAATGGATTTTAAAATAAATTTGTAAAATAAACATACTTATACTTTAGATGACAAAGTATTTTTCACAAATAAATAAATATTTAATAAAAATATAATTAAAAAGGAAGTAAACACTGTAATTAACAGGGCACTCAGTATTCTGGGAAGTTTGTGTGCATTAATCATATATTTTTTTAAATAAAGCCAAGGTAACACTCATTTTACATACAGCACGCAGTGAAAATGACATGAATATGACAGTGGACAAATGCATAAAGTGCAGCATAATTTGAAATCACGAATTTAATGTTTAAAGCATTCACTTTGCACGGACCGAAAGTCACGCAGAGAATCATGCAGCGATCACACGCGATCATGCAGGTCACATGCACACTTCACAAGATCTCACAACTGGATTCGACTAAGTTTGCAAGGTTTGTGAAATGAAATTTTCATTAGCCATTCAAAGATTTGTTTAAATTATGTAAATGCATATTTGCTGAATGCTGACGGCAAACAAGAAAGTATTATAATGTTTGCCTTTCTATTACTAATAATATAAAAGCAATCGTTATGATACTTTTTGTATACATTTTAATTCCTTTGTTTAACAGTTCTATCGGATTATTAGACAAACTTCTATCTGTTAACGACGACAGTGAACAAGAGAATGTGTGTGCTCAGGCGCTGCCGCTCTCAGCACCGTCAAAATAAAAGTCCCGCCTCGAACGCATCAGCCAAACAGAAAAAGTTATCGGCCGATGCAAATATTTGAAAAATGCCAAATATCGGCCGATATATCAGTCGACCACTAATTATGAGTATAATATATTATACATTAACACAATAGTATTAATGTTATGTTAAATATTATATATTAATCTACTTCTTTTATACATTATATTATTATTATTAATCTAAATTATATTATAAAATAAACAGTAAACATTTAAGGGAACCCTATATTTAGGATAGGAAAACAATTTAGGATTTTTCTGAGCTGAAAAACGTACATAAATTTAAAATGACATGTAGTTTGTCCTCCATTTGCGTTGCAAACCTGCCGTTTGGTAACAATGATTTGTGAAGAATATTCATTTGTTATATATAAACTACTACTTAAGAGTACAACAGTCACTGTCAAGTATTATGGACTATTTTAATGACTCATTAAGGGCCCTTTTTCGGTTTAATGTTTTATTTTTAAATTAAATAAACAAAAATTATAAAAACCAAACAATACAGCAAAAATAGAAATGATCAAGCCATGTTTATGGCCAATAGAAAATGTAAATAATTTATATGTATAAAATTTCCAAATGTAAAACCTGCACCACTGCTAGCATTTGTGTAATAATACTTCTGACTCGAAACACGGCTACTAAAATAAAGCATCTTTGTGACAACTAGCCCCGGTCTATTCACAGTAAGAAGACAAACACACACTCGCCAGGTGTCTAGTATTACCTGGTAATAAGCTTTCTTAATCTCCTTCTGCGTGGCTGCGCGTGGAACTCCTAGGATCTGGTAGAAATCCTGTTTTCGAGCAGGAGAGCTGGTGTGGAACGACATCTTACAGATGACATGAGAAGAAGGGCTCACCGCTGTGACACACAACACTATCATTACAATTACGAACAGCATATTTACTATTGCTCGATTACAGTAACGTGTAGCAACTACAGCATTTTATAGCAAATACCACAGAACCGCTTATAAAACCAATCTACTGCATTTTTGAGGAATTTCTTAGTGTTTCCCAACATTAAACACAGCCCAGTGAATTGTAAAACACAACATACAATACGAAACCAATAAAAGTGTAGTCAGAATTTGCTTTGAAATGTATCGGTTTAAGTCAGTCCCAATTTTCATTAATCAATCAATCAATTAATACCTTAACTGTCAACCCCCATTTTTTTTAAATAGGCATGCAGGTGCACTATCCAAACTTAAATTGTTGTAATTTATGAACACTTTTGGAATACAGACATAAGGTTGGTCTCTTTTTAAAGAAGTGGAATGTTTTTAAAGAAATAAAGTATCAAAAAGTTATGCTAGTTTAAATTTACTGTAAAGAAAATGCACTATATACATTTTATTTTATATATAATAAATATTTTACATAACAGGTTTTACTCTAAAATTGGTATCAAATTAAAGCCTTATGTCTAAATAAGTTATGTTCCAAATTTGAAGTCGATATGAAAAAAATTGAGGTTCCTGTGAGATTTTATTTAGGGCATTATACCACAAACAGCCACCGGGTGCCATCCAAACTCCATTACATTTTTTAATGCATTTTTCTATCACAAATATCTAGATTTCTCTGTCATTAATTACCATATTGACCCGAATATAAGACGATGTTTTTTTTCTTGGAAATACATCTGAAAAAACGCGGTCGTCTTATATTCAGGGTCTAGACTTTGACATGTCGATAATACACCCACAACAATAGGTGGCGCCAAATACGCATAAAACGAGTGTACGTAACGATACGTAATGTAATGCGTGTTGTAAAGATCGCGAGTAAAAACAAAAGAAACCCTTACAGCTGCATGAGTCGTGACTGTCAGGTTAGCCTGATGGGCTAATAAAAATGCTGATAAAACGTAAGACAGAACCCAGATTTGAAGACTACAGTAAGATTTAACTTCTACTGTTAATACGATTTTGGTAGGCTACTATTAGATGGATAGCCTAAATGTCCTAATTCAGATGGGCTACCTGTTTTTTTAATGGTATATCAAAAAGTGTATATTTTTAAAATGTGATTATTGGTACATTTTACCAGTTTTTACCATACTTTCAAAACAAAAATTAAAATTAAAATAAAAAATTTGAAGACAAAATGTGTTTTCCTGAGAAAAAACAAGATTTGTTTTTTAAAAAGCCTTTTTCCAAAAGGTATATCTGGGAAAAGGGGGGGGGTCGTCTTATATTCGGGCCAATACGATACTTCTCAAAATAACCACCAAATATGGAATCCTGAGACTCAGACCTTTCCAATGATATGTTTGTCAAGATTATAAAAAGTTTTGATTGTAAAAGAGCGTAATGCACTTTGTAATATGATACTTGACACCGCCCGCTAAGGGGGAGGAGACCGCCAAAATATTTTCAAGTACCATTTCCACGGTAACGCAATGTCCGATTTCATCACAGGATGAATTTGGGGCTTCTAAGATTTCAAATGATTTTTGATTTATGATGATTACTAAAAGATCTGATAGAGAAAAAGGACAACAAAAAAGAGTGCCAAGCGTCCCACAGGTGGGACAGTGACAGTTAAGGGGTTAATTAATTAGAAATATATGGGTTGTTTTCAAAGGATTACCAAATTAATATCATTATCCTTATACTTTAATAAATATCAATGGTATTCCAGAAAATAGATGCAAATAATATATTTGATTGCACAATATTTACCATGGTAAACACAGTTTTGCAATAATTATATAATTAGTGACTATTTAATTAGTGATCCAATTTGCATGGATCTAAACAGCGACTAAGCCCTACACTAGGTGTACTATGGTAAACTTCAGGTCAGGTCAATTCTAGGAACCAAATAGAGATGCAAACAGAAATCTACAATGTTAATTGTTGAAATCACGAATTTAATGTTTAAAGCATTCACTTTGCACGGACCGAAAGTCACGCAGAGAATCATGCAGCGATCACACGCGATCATGCAGGTCACATGCACACTTCACAAGATCTCACAACTGGATTCGACTAAGTTTGCAAGGTTTGTGAAATGAAATTTTCATTAGCCATTCAAAGATTTGTTTAAATTATGTAAATGCATATTTGCTGAATGCTGACGGCAAACAAGAAAGTATTATAATGTTTGCCTTTCTATTACTAATAATATAAAAGCAATCGTTATGATACTTTTTGTATACATTTTAATTCCTTTGTTTAACAGTTCTATCGGATTATTAGACAAACTTCTATCTGTTAACGACGACAGTGAACAAGAGAATGTGTGTGCTCAGGCGCTGCCGCTCTCAGCACCGTCAAAATAAAAGTCCCGCCTCGAACGCATCAGCCAAACAGAAAAAGTTATCGGCCGATGCAAATATTTGAAAAATGCCAAATATCGGCCGATATATCAGTCGACCACTAATTATGAGTATAATATATTATACATTAACACAATAGTATTAATGTTATGTTAAATATTATATATTAATCTACTTCTTTTATACATTATATTATTATTATTAATCTAAATTATATTATAAAATAAACAGTAAACATTTAAGGGAACCCTATATTTAGGATAGGAAAACAATTTAGGATTTTTCTGAGCTGAAAAACGTACATAAATTTAAAATGACATGTAGTTTGTCCTCCATTTGCGTTGCAAACCTGCCGTTTGGTAACAATGATTTGTGAAGAATATTCATTTGTTATATATAAACTACTACTTAAGAGTACAACAGTCACTGTCAAGTATTATGGACTATTTTAATGACTCATTAAGGGCCCTTTTTCGGTTTAATGTTTTATTTTTAAATTAAATAAACAAGAATTATAAAAACCAAACAATACAGCAAAAATAGAAATGATCAAGCCATGTTTATGGCCAATAGAAAATGTAAATAATTTATATGTATAAAATTTCCAAATGTAAAACCTGCACCACTGCTAGCATTTGTGTAATAATACTTCTGACTCGAAACACGGCTACTAAAATAAAGCATCTTTGTGACAACTAGCCCCGGTCTATTCACAGTAAGAAGACAAACACACACTCGCCAGGTGTCTAGTATTACCTGGTAATAAGCTTTCTTAATCTCCTTCTGCGTGGCTGCGCGTGGAACTCCTAGGATCTGGTAGAAATCCTGTTTTCGAGCAGGAGAGCTGGTGTGGAACGACATCTTACAGATGACATGAGAAGAAGGGCTCACCGCTGTGACACACAACACTATCATTACAATTACGAACAGCATATTTACTATTGCTCGATTACAGTAACGTGTAGCAACTACAGCATTTTATAGCAAATACCACAGAACCGCTTATAAAACCAATCTACTGCATTTTTGAGGAATTTCTTAGTGTTTCCCAACATTAAACACAGCCCAGTGAATTGTAAAACACAACATACAATACGAAACCAATAAAAGTGTAGTCAGAATTTGCTTTGAAATGTATCGGTTTAAGTCAGTCCCAATTTTCATTAATCAATCAATCAATTAATACCTTAACTGTCAACCCCCATTTTTTTTAAATAGGCATGCAGGTGCACTATCCAAACTTAAATTGTTGTAATTTATGAACACTTTTGGAATACAGACATAAGGTTGGTCTCTTTTTAAAGAAGTGGAATGTTTTTAAAGAAATAAAGTATCAAAAAGTTATGCTAGTTTAAATTTACTGTAAAGAAAATGCACTATATACATTTTATTTTATATATAATAAATATTTTACATAACAGGTTTTACTCTAAAATTGGTATCAAATTAAAGCCTTATGTCTAAATAAGTTATGTTCCAAATTTGAAGTCGATATGAAAAAAATTGAGGTTCCTGTGAGATTTTATTTAGGGCATTATACCACAAACAGCCACCGGGTGCCATCCAAACTCCATTACATTTTTTAATGCATTTTTCTATCACAAATATCTAGATTTCTCTGTCATTAATTACCGTATTGAACCGAATATAAGACGATGTTTTTTTTCTTGGAAATACATCTGAAAAAACGCGGTCGTCTTATATTCAGGGTCTAGACTTTGACATGTCGATAATACACCCACAACAATAGGTGGCGCCAAATACGCATAAAACGAGAGTACGTAACGATACGTAATGTAATGCGTGTTGTAAAGATCGCGAGTAAAAACAAAAGAAACCCTTACAGCTGCATGAGTCGTGACTGTCAGGTTAGCCTGATGGGCTAATAAAAATGCTGATAAAACGTAAGACAGAACCCAGATTTGAAGACTACAGTAAGATTTAACTTCTACTGTTAATACGATTTTGGTAGGCTACTATTAGATGGATAGCCTAAATGTCCTAATTCAGATGGGCTACCTGTTTTTTTAATGGTATATCAAAAAGTGTATATTTTTAAAATGTGATTATTGGTACATTTTACCAGTTTTTACCATACTTTCAAAACAAAAATTAAAATTAAAATAAAAAATTTGAAGACAAAATGTGTTTTCCTGAGAAAAAACAAGATTTGTTTTTTAAAAAGCCTTTTTCCAAAAGGTATATCTGGGAAAAGGGGGGGGGTCGTCTTATATTCGGGCCAATACGATACTTCTCAAAATAACCACCAAATATGGAATCCTGAGACTCAGACCTTTCCAATGATATGTTTGTCAAGATTATAAAAAGTTTTGATTGTAAAAGAGCGTAATGCACTTTGTAATATGATACTTGACACCGCCCGCTAAGGGGGAGGAGACCGCCAAAATATTTTCAAGTACCATTTCCACGGTAACGCAATGTCCGATTTCATCACAGGATGAATTTGGGGCTTCTAAGATTTCAAATGATTTTTGATTTATGATGATTACTAAAAGATCTGATAGAGAAAAAGGACAACAAAAAAGAGTGCCAAGCGTCCCACAGGTGGGACAGTGACAGTTAAGGGGTTAATTAATTAGAAATATATGGGTTGTTTTCAAAGGATTACCAAATTAATATCATTATCCTTATACTTTAATAAATATCAATGGTATTCCAGAAAATAGATGCAAATAATATATTTGATTGCACAATATTTACCATGGTAAACACAGTTTTGCAATAATTATATAATTAGTGACTATTTAATTAGTGATCCAATTTGCATGGATCTAAACAGCGACTAAGCCCTACACTAGGTGTACTATGGTAAACTTCAGGTCAGGTCAATTCTAGGAACCAAATAGAGATGCAAACAGAAATCTACAATGTTAATTGTCACACCACAACATTCCCATCTGCGTTTTGGAAATGTTTTGATTATTTTCTTCATGGCAGACTTCTTTGTGTCTTTATTCGTCCAGCTGACAGTCACTGCTGAGCTCCAACAAGGTCAGAGAAGTTTCTGGAGACTCAAAACCAGGTCTGTGATTGCTCATCTGACCCAAACTCTTCCTCGCACAGTATATTGATTAGGCATCAGGTGTGCATGCATTGATTTAGAGTTGAATGCAAGAGCTATGTTTGCTTTCTGACCTACAAATGAATGTTACATGTCCTCTATCATATAAAGCTCGATCTATATCGATTACATCAGGCCTGATTTATAAGCTCAGCTTTAGACATCAGAGTCAGTAGTGTGTGTGTAGTTAGATGCTGAGGCCTTCATCGCTCACCTGTCATGCCTCTCAATGTCACCGCAGCCCCGGCTCCTCCGGCGCTCCCGCCGCGCGCCGTCCACATCTGCCGGCCGGACAGCGTCGAGAGGCTCCTGTAGGCTCCATCCGCGCTGGAGAGCAGAGGCGAGCAGGCCCGTCTGTGGCTGGAAGACACGGCCACTGTGACCCAGCGTGCGGAGCTGCGAGCCGCGGAACACGCCATCTTTACCCCTCACCGACACGAGAGCGACTGCGCATGTGCGAGCGGTAAGCGCATGCGCACTGCTGTGAAGACTGATGCTGCGTCTCAATAATGTATGTACTCTTTTGGTGAAGAAAAAGTACACACTTTTGAGTGTGTAGTAGAAGAGCAGGCAAGCTTTGGGACATACTACACAACTGCGTCTTTAACGGACGCTCTGTGGCACAGATACACGCACCCTGTCACTGTAAACTGGCCTGTCAATCATCTTGTCACAGTTAACATCCTCCATATTTCATTTAAATTTAACTTCCTACCGTACTGGAGAGAAAATAAGTAGCACGTTGATCTGTCAGTCGCGGGTCTTTCATGCCATATTGTATGCATAATGATGCATTTAAAAGTTAACGACCAAACAGATGTTTATAAAAGTTTACATTGCTGTTGCCGATAAAATATAGCACAGATAACATTAAATAAATATTTTTTACCAGGTTAAATGTTGACTATTAGTAACGCAAACCCTTTATCTAAGCCTCTCTACCTAACCGCCGGTCGCGCACATCCGCCATGTTTGTAGTTTTTTAACCCATTTTATTCGTGTTTGTAGTTCTGGACAGAATCCTTCACCAAAGCGCAATGGATTGTGGGCAATATTAGCCATTAGAGTGTGCACGGATCCACACTTCAAAAATCGAGCTGAAATAGTAGACCATCCGGGGACTTTTGGCACACTCTTTTCGACATACTATGCTTTGGGACACACTTATTCTAATCCCACATACTATTTAGGATGGATAGTATGAACATTGAAAAGAAAAGTGAATAGACTAATAAAAATAAATTACATTTAAAAAAAAGTCCAGCGCAGCACAGTTCTTATTTGTAGAATGCATAGATATTATTTTACACATCATGACTACCATTTTTAGACTCATTTGAGATATTTCACCAGCAAGAAAGCTTATTGTCTTAACTGAAATAATAATAATAATACTTTAAAAAATATCAATTAAATTTCAGGAAATAGATGCAGATAATAAATTCAACAATAAATATTATTTATTTATTCGTTCCTTGAAATAAAATCCATTTTAAGTAAAATAAAATAAAATGTAAAAAACGTACATTTTTTTTCAGATGGTTGCCAAGGCAACATTTCTAATTTTCTTTCAATTTAATGAAATAATTAATAATGGAAATAATAAATATGTAAATATGAAAAAAAAAAAACTAATAAAAAATGACACATAAAACAAAATGACTAAAATTTGAACTAAAATTAAAATGAAAACAGAAAATATAAAAAAAATTCAGATGGTTGCCAAGGCAACATTTCTAATTTTCTTTCAATTTAATGAAATAATTAATAATGGAAATAATAAATATGTAAATATGAAAAAAAAACTAATAAAAAATGACACATAAAACAAAATGACTAAAATTTGAACTAAAATTAAAATGAAAACAGAAAATATAAAAACAAAAACAAATTGAATATATTAATGAAATCTATAATAGTCTCTCAATCATACTAAAATAACACTTGTTCAAAGTTGATTTATTTATTTTTAGAAACATTTATTCATTAATTTATTCATAGAAATGCACTGTAAAAAGACCATGTTTAATTTCGGCTTATGCTTAAAAAGTAGCAAGGAAATTCTAGAAAACGTTCATTTTTTTTGACCGAAATGTATTTTTAAATGTATTATGGGCAGTGTACGCATTACAAGTAATGTGAGTTACAGTCAGATTACTTTTTTCAAGTAACTAGTAAAGTAACGCATTGCTTTTTCATTTACAAGAAAATATCTGAGTTACTTTTTCAAATCAGTAACGCATTACTTTAACAAGTTACTTTGTTTGCCATGTATTGACTGACAGCTCTGGTGTTGCCATGTTGAGAGAAATCAGGAGTGAGTGCAGAGCGTTGCGCGTGAACATGATCTTAGTTCTAGACTAAATATCAACATGTGTTTACTCGTCTCACCTGCTGAAAGCAGATTCAGTATTCCTCAAAATGAATAAAAACGGTAAAAATGCAAACTCAAAATATGACACAAACCGGCATAAATATGCTTTATGTATTTAATCCCATTTTCTTAACCAATGACTTTGCTTCTGACCTTGATCCAATTCAACCATACAAATAAGCAAAAGTGAGTTTGTGTGTGTGTTTTTTTTTTTTTATTGCTGATCGAAGAGTGTTGAGCTTTCTTTACTTCAGCCTGAGTCTCATTCATATCACTTTTGGTGTTAAGTGGCTTTTACATTTGCCAAAAATAGAACTTTTTATATTAAAAACAAACAAGCAAGCCCTGTCCGGTTTTAAAAAGTAACGCAAAAGTAACGCAAAGCATTACGTTCCATAAAAAGTAACTAAGTAACGTAACTAGTTACTTTTTAGGGAGTAACGCGATATTGTAATGCGTTACTTTTAAAAGTAACTTTCCCCAACACTGATTATAGGATAGCCTATTTATAAAACGCTTTTCTGTCAGTTTAATCTCAGTTTTTACAGGGGAAGTGCAAGCCTAACTCTAATATATCTGTTGTTTATTTCGCAGAGACATAGAGACTGCGTGATGTACTGACGCGCCTTTAGTGCGAGTTTATGGTTTGCAAATCAGCTCTGCGTCACATGAACGCACTCATTCAAACAAACGCACAAGTCAGGATCACTTTCACAACAGCGAGACACCCGGAAGGTTCAAACGCGTGACCAGCAGCTCAGCATGAATCGCTTCAAGACGTCCAAATATAAGAACAGCACTCCCAAAATCCCCAAGAAAGATGTGAGTACAGCCGCAGCGCGCGCGGTCTGGTTGTGGCTCTTGTGATTCGGGCTCCGAGCTCAAGGAGTGGAGCAGATGCACTGATGAAGTCTAACTTCCTCCATCCTCAACTAAACATATGAAGCTGCATGCACGATCATAAGGCATTGGATGCATATGAATGCGTGTGATTTCGTGCTGAGTATGCATTGAATACAGTTGCATTGGGGTTGTTTGAACTTGATACTGTTTCGCTCTGACCTGGTCCGTGTTTCACATACCTGTTTGGAAGAAGGGCAAAACAAAATGGCATGAATGCATAGAATACATTTACATGACAAACAAATAGGTCATTAAGAAAACGTTGCAAATGCAAAAAAAATGAAAGATATTAAACGTTGTATGTGTAAAAGCATCTGGTGACCAGATTCACTGCGATTAGCCTCCATATGAAATAATTAAATTAATGATGACATAAACCAAATGTTAAACATTCTGATTTATTTTTAAATAATTAAAACAAATCAATTTGTTTGGCAAGACTACGTGGAGGCACATAGTGTACACATTAAAATATGAGCACGTTAAAATTGTAATCATTTTATTTGCATAATAAAAATATCACTTTTGTCACTTTTAATAATAAAATGTGATACACTTTTAATAATAAGAGGCTTCATTTCTGACATGCACCTATAATGAACAACGCTGTAAAAAAGATCCACCTACTTCAAAAGGTTTAGTATAAAATCCAGTTGGCTGTCATTAATCTAAATTATATTAAAAGGACTCATAAAAATGATAGAAATTATATATGCTTCCAAATCTTGAATCCAAATTCGCAATAACTTTTTAAAATATTTATTTTAGTTTAAGTTTTAGTAATTTTCTTATGTGCTTTTTGTAATTTTTGCTTTGTTTTATATATATATATTATATTAGTTCAAGTAATCTTATGTGCTTTTGTCATTTTTGTTAGGCTTTTAATATTTGTATTTAGCTGTTTTATATATCTATCTCTCTCTCTCTCTCTCTCTCTCTCTCTCTCTATATATATATATATATATATATAATTTATTTATTTTTTGAATTTTTTTAAAGAATGCAATATTCATGACATTTTCAACATTCCAAGACAAATTGGTGCATTTTAATGATTAATTTGTTTAATTATTTATTGTTTCACAATAAATCAGAACATTAAACTTTTGGTTTATATAATTATTAATTGATTTAATCATTTAATTCAGAGTCCTTCAGCACATTGATTTGCTACCTTAGCTTTTTTTCACCCGGCTGCACAGTTTTTTGTGGTGATAAAACTAGGACTTTGCATATTCAAATCCGATGGAGTGCTCTGCAGTGATCTAGTGCAATAGATGGTTTTTCCAGGGACAAACAGGCTCAGATCTTGTTTCTTGTCGTCATATGTGGTGTTGTTAAGAAACAGCCCTGAGGTTCACAGGCTTTCGGTGTGAATGCTTCACATACCTGAGCTTTATATGATCACCTGTGTTTGTGTTCATGTATACAACGGCCCTAAAGATACTTAAGGCTTATACTTACTTATGCAGAAGTGTGTGAATGCATTTAATATAGACCAAGTATCAATTTATTCATGATATGTGTGATTTATTATATATTTATCAGTCATTTAACACTGTGATTGTCGTCTAGTTTTGCTTTAGGACCCCAGATGTGGCCTTAAAGGAACAGTAACCCAAAAATGAAAATTGTCATCATTTACTCACCTTCCACTTGTTCTGAACCAGAATGAGTTTCTTTCTTCTGTTGAACACGAAAGAAGATATTTTGAAGAATGTTGTCACCCAAACAGTCGACGGTAGCCATTGACTTCCATAGGATTGTATTTTTTTTTCAATTCAAAATAACTTATTTTGTGTTCAACGGAAGAAAGAAACTCATACTTGATTTTCATTTTTGGGTGAACTGTCCCTTTAAGACTGAATGTTGAAATGGATTGATGATACAATGTTGGGTGGAAAGTGCCTGTGGCTGGGATTTACATGAATATAGCATATATTATTTCATTGTTGTCACCTCTGCCGGATGTCTTTATTCTGTCTTGGAGAAACACACGGTGTAAGTCACATGACAGGACTGTAACACACTGTTAAAGTTTCACAGCACAGATCCACTGGCTTTAAATGTGAGTTTGTGGTCAAATGCTGACAGAAGTTTAGCTGAGTGTCTGGATGTAAAACGCTGACTGATGCTGCCGTAAGCGTAAGGTGAGATTGGGTCAGGATGGAGGTGTTTTTTTTATTTATTTTTTATTTTTTTGCAAAATAGAAGACTTTTATTCAACAAGGATGTATTAAATTTAAAATTGACGGTGTAATGTTACAAAAGATTATATTTCAAATAAATGCTGTTCTTTTGAACTTTCTATTCATCAAACAAACAAACCTGAAATATATATATATATATATATATATATATATATATATATATATATATATATATATATATATATATATATATATATATATATATATATATTTCAATGGTTTCCACAAAAATATGATGCGACACAGCTGTTTCAACATTGATAATAATAGTAAATATTTCTTGAGAATCAAATCAGCATATTAGAATGATTTCTGAAGGATCATGTGACACTGAAGACTGGAGTAATGCTGCTGAAATAATGCTTTACATCACAGGAATAAATTACAATTAAACATATTCAATCAGAAAACTGTTCTTTTAAATTGTAATAATGTGTCACAATTTTACTGTTTTTACTGCATTTATATTTAAATAAATGCAGCCTTGGTGAGCAGAAGACACTTCTTTCAAAAGCATTAAAAAAAAACCTTAATTATTCCAAACTTTTTCAACAGTTTTATCGTTCAGCAGGTGAAAACGCTTTAGTCCATATGCTTTGTTAGAACTGGTTTTGGATGGTTTGGGTCTGGATTTCAGGTTTAGAGCTTCAAATGCAGATTATCTGTGCTTTTTAAGAAGCCAGAAGGCCTTATTTTCATCTTTTATTTATATCTTTGGCTTGTCGCCTCATGGTGTAGGAGTGAGCATGACTGTGTGTAATGCAGAAGAGCGTGCGTGCTTTAGGCTTTCTCACACACTTCAGTCTTCAGTCTGCTCCAGATTCTGTGGATTGTGATGGTTATTCTACAGCAGTCGCTCAAACACCGTCATTCTCTGCGTGTTGTTTCTTGTTGACATTCTGGGAGGATCTGAAACTGTTCGGCTGCTCTTCTCTGTTTCCTCAAGTGTGTGTGTGTTGCTTGTGAAAGGCCCCATCTGTGTGTGTGTGTGTTGCACTGTTGTGTAGAGAAAGTGCTGTGTTTCTATCCGTTTCCTCTTTCCTGTTTGTGATGTCAGATGTTCAGTCGAGAGGCATCAGAGGTTGATTCAGTTCATCAGTGTCATCTTTTGGTGTGTTCCAGTGTTATTTTAGTATCATTTATGTACTAATATAGTTTTTATTAATATTTTGAGAGAGCTTTTTTTTTATATTTTCAGTAAAATTTTTATTTACTGTTATGCTTTTGTAGTTTATATATATATATATATATATATATATATATATATATATATATATATATATATTAGGGGTGCTAAAGTTCATTGAAAGTAGGGGTGCTCCGACTGATCGGCTATCGATCACTATCGGCCGATAATCACGTTGGGATGATTGATTGGCGGTCTCTAAAAAGGCCGATCTCAAGCTGATGGCGCTGCCATGAGAGGTTTGGGATTTATATATTTATTTATATATATTTATATTTAGCCTTAATTTATATTTATTTTAATTTTGGTCATTTTTGTCATGCATTTATGTATTTTTATTAGGTTTATATACTTTATAACTTTTATATTTAGCATTAATTTATATTTATTTTAGTTTTAAGTTTTATTAGTTCTATGTGCTTTTGTCATTTTTATTAGGTTTTTAAAATTTATGTTTAACATTCATTTATATTTATTTTAGTTTAAGTTTTAGGAATTTTGCTTTTTGTCATTTTTGTCATTTTTATTAGTTTTTTTATTTATCTTTAATTTATATTTATCTTAATTTTGTGTAATTTCATTTCATGTCTGTCTCAGTCTGTCGAACTATTTTTAATAGTTTAGTCAACAATAACAACATTGTTTTCTTTGTTTAGCAAAACATTTTAAAATTAGTTATTTACTTTAATTTTACTTTATGCTTTAGTTTTAGCGGTATGCTTTAATTATTTTTATTTTAAATAATTACTCATTTTAATTCTACATTATGATTTTGATTTGAGTAAGTTTTCATTTTAAAAGTAGTATTTTATTTTAATTTTACATTATGCTTTATTTTTGTTATATTTTCATTATTAGTTTAACGGTTTTACATTTGATTTTACTTTAGATAAATTTTATGATTTAGATAGTAAGTTTATTTTAAAATTACTTATTTTATTGTTTTTATTTTAAAATGTATTTTAAATTTACTAATAATTTAAATTTTTAGTAATTTTTTTTTCTTTAAAATTACTTATTTTATTTTGTTTTTATTTTTAAAATGATTTTATTTAACATTTTAATGATTGTAGTTTTTATTTTAAAATTATTTGAATTTTCAGGATGTTTTTACTTTAAAATGAATTATTTTGATTGTATATTTTTATGGTTTTATTATTTAGTGACTTAAGTGAGGTGTTCAGAGATGACATATGTAGATTTGTCTGGTATGTTGAATATTTCTCATCATGTTTCCCTGTAGAACCAAATGCGAGATTTGTCTTCATTTTAAGAGCACGCTTGATTTAGCAATGCTCCTGTGTTTCTGTGCAGGGCTGGATTGCGAACGTGCGAGGAGCTTCCTTCTCTTCTCAGGGCAAGCACATCAAATCCAGCTGCAGTCTCGTGGCCTTCAACACAGATCAGGCTGGTATGAACACTGTTCTTCACTATCAGCACTGAACATCTGAGCACCTCTGATAACATGTGCACACACCAAACATAAACACCAGGAGAAGCAGTCTGTGTTGCGTTTTGTAAGCGGTGTTTTTAGATGTAACTGTGTCTGTTGTGTCTCTGGAGGAGGTGGGATGGTCGGCCTGTCTTCTGTGAATGCCGCATCTGACGGGAAGTGGACCGTGACCCAGATATCATGCCATGCTGGTAAGATACCAACAATTACAGGTCTTACTAACACACTTGTCTCATTTAACTTCATTTGAAGCAGAAGTTGATGTTTGTGACGATGCTTGGAGCAAATAAAAGTGCTGTCCTGATGCTGTGTCCTGTGTACGTAATGTACGAGTTTGTCCTGATTCTCTTCCTGATCTTCTTGTCCCAGACCTCGTGACCGACCTGGACTTCTCGCCGTTTGATGACTATCTGCTGGCGACCTGCTCGGCTGATGAGACGGTGAGTCGTGAGAAACCAGTGATAGTTTGTGTCCACTGCAGATTATTCTGAGCAAAAACGGACCCCTTCAACAGCAAGAGACTGCATGAGTGACATGTAAGGTGACCAAGTATCTGAAATCTGACGCCACATTCATAATAAAATGATCAATCACAATATATAGTTGCACAAGGATGTCATACATCATATATGCACAAGTGCATTAATTCTCTGAAAAAAAGAAGAAGCAGCGTTTCTCATTGTAGCAGTCTGGGAACTTATTATTAATAATAATAATAATTTATGCATTTAGCAGATGCTTTTATCCAAAGCGACTTACAGTGCATTCAGGCTATAAATTTTTTTTACCAGTATATGTGTTCCCTGGGAATCGAATCCACGATGTTTTGCGCTGCTAATGCAATGCTCTACCACTGAGCCACAGGAACACATTATTTCTGTAACGGGGCTGACAAGACGTGAGACGTGTGGATCCATCTGCAAGCTTTATTTAAAGAGACATGGTAAACAGGCAGGGTCAAACAATGGCAAACAGGTATAAGGCGGGCAAAACACAAGAATAGTCCTAGAGCTAGCGTAGGTCACCTATCGGCAGACAGAATCACAGGGGCGAGACAAGAGGGAAAACTCCAGGAAAACAGGCAAAGATCAGATACCGCAGAAACAGGCAAGGCAAAACAAGGAAAACACAGAGACTCGGAAAGGGGTACAGGCTAAACAATACTCAGCAGAGAAAGGTGGTTAGAGTGGGTGTTATATAGTGAGTGAGGTGATAAGAAACAGCTGTGTGCAATGAGTGCAAATCAGTGCAGTGTGCAAATCGTGCAAGGAATGATGGGATATGTAGTCCGGGGTGCTATGCAACAGTTTGAGTTGTGCGAGAGTCAATGTAAAGGAAAGGGTGACCTCTGGTGGTGAATAAACGGAAGTCCATGGACCGAATTCGTGACAATTAACATGATTGTTTCCTGGTAGATATAAATATAGATATAGACAGGGGTGCACATACGTTTTTCAGCTTGGTTCTCATATGAGAACCTGGAGATTTGGTTTTAGTCCTCACACTGCACATACTGTTTCCCATTAAATATAACTATAAAAAAAATAAATCAATAAGACCGATAGTAATATTGCACTTTATTTATTTAGAGTTTTTTTTAAACTAAATAATAAAGTGTGATAACACTATTATATTTAAAAATTAAAGGGAGGTATTAAATACAAATACAATTACTTTATAGTAAACTTAAAAATAAAATGTTAATATTTACTACTACTTTTTAAAATTTTCATCATTTTCGAACTTCAAATCAGCAGGCTTTTATTTTGGCGGGTTGCTGGTAAAGTAAGTATATGCACTTCCGGGTTTGGAGCTGCCGATTATAGAGCGTCAGTGAATGAAATGTCACAGTTTTGCATTGTGCTTTGAAAACGGCAGCGGATAGCCTAGATTTATGCTTTCAGTTTGAATAGAAATCTTATACAGTACAGTTTGTTGATCTAAAATGGTGATTGTGCATTAATAGCTGTCGATTATGTCGGTATGCAAATGCAATGTGAGAACTTATTTACACGGAGCATTTTTTATTTTGGTCGCGCATGCAGACCTGCGGACCACTTATGTGCACCGCTGATTATAGACTATTTCTGTAAGTACTCAGGCCACTTGAGTAGTTAATAATAAAATGTTATTTATTTATTTATTCATTCATTCTTTAATATGTTTTATTTATTTTTAAATGTATTTCTTAATTTATGTATAAAATATTTAATAAAATCAAGTAAATCAATAGAAATGTTCTATTTTAGTTATTAATTTAATTTAGTCTATTGATTTATTTTTTATTAAAAACATATTATAATTGAATCTATTAAAATAATGATTGTAAACCTTTTTAATTATTTATTCTTTTAAAAAGCTATTTATTTTAAATATTTATTAAATCAACTTATTTTAAGTTTTTTATTTTAAAGCAATTTATTATTTTAAATCAATTAAATCAATAAAATTTAGGTATTTAATGAATTAATTAACTTTTATTTATTTTCTTTATTTTTAAGTGTATTTTAAACCAATTAAATTGATTTTTTATTACATTTTATTAGAATAAGAATTGAATTTTCTGATTGAAGCTGATTTTTTCCCCTGCTTACTCAGTTAACCCTCAACCCTCAGTGTATGTACACAGATGCATAGGTTTAGTTTGAAGTGGAAAGCTTTTAGTTCAGATGTTTGTTCTTAGTTCAATCCTTAAGAATGTGCGTTGCTCGGCTGCATGTGTTTATCAGTGACATCTGCTGATCTGTTGAGCTGTTTTGTCTGTTCAGCTTAACAACAAAAAAGCAGCTTTATCTGGAGCTGTGCTTATATCACGGTCTATGAAGAGCGTTTTTAGCAGCTGTATCACGCTGTGCAGATGTTGAGGAGGTTGGCAGATGCTGCTCTCACTCAGGTCGTGTTTTTTGAAAGCTCAGCAGAATGAGAGACAAACACTCACGATGGATCTGTCTGCTGATGCCTTCATATTCCAACACATCTGGCCTCCAGCTGACATCTGCTCCAGCGTTTGTCTCTCTCAGTGAGGTTCGGTTTAGCAGTCAGCTCACACAGTGAGAGCACAAGAGCTGTTCCGTTTGGGACGTTTCCCAGGGGAATCACAGTTCCAGCCAAAATACTATGGTTACATTTAGTATTACTCCAGTTAAACTGCTGTATATTGGTACTAGCCAAGTCAAGTCACTTTTATTGTCACATCACCACAGCACATGTGCCTTGGTCAGTGAAATTCTTGGGAGCGTGCTCCAGACTGCAGAAACTGCAGAAACAATTTACATATAAACATACAGACCTCAACAGATGACAATGTGCAATATACACATACATATATAGTCAGTACACACAGTGTACTATTAGACCATACTAACAGTTAGCACTACACATTATACACAGTATGTACATACAGTTAGCAATACACATTATACACAGTATGTACACATTCTACATTATGTAGACATATATACACATAAAATATGCGAAGGTGCAACAGATTATACATGAACTGGATACGCAAAATGTCATGGATGTGCATTGGATGGTATCCAGTGGTTGCAGATAGGTTATTGTATTAAATGCAGTGTGTATGCAGGGGCGGACTTACTCATTAGGCAAAGGTAGGCGACCGCCTTGGGCCCCCAAAATCCAAGGGCCCCCTAAAATCCTTTTCATATTCATGGGTTTCAGTCACGTGACTTTTTTGTTGCGGCCGCCATATTTAGGACCTTGCGTAGCCTCTCCTTGGTGATCAGAAACCAAAATAACACTTAAACACCATGGAAAACAAATGAACACTTTAGCATAAGATCCTTATTTACTGTCAAGCGAGCTGCTGACTCCACTAAAGTCTAGTGAAAATTTACCAATTTGACGTTTGCTGATAGCCTATTTACATCTACCTCATACACAATCCCTCTCCGTACACTCGGGCCATTTTCAGTTAAATTTTCACCTGTTAGAGACTTGTCCATCGGCCCGGATCCCAAAAACCATGCAATTACAGCAAAAAAGCAGCAGTTATACAATAAGTGTAGATAAAATATTTAACACATTTTGCAAAATTACCCATGCATTTACTTGAATGAATGAGGCATTTATATGTACACTTGGACTGTAACATTTAATAAAGGTTAAAACACTAAAAATTTTAAAGGTGTTTTGAGAAACACATTGGTAAATGGCAAAGTTTTTGAATTAAACATTTTGTACTTGGTAAAATAATTGAAATAATTATTACCTAACTGTTACTATGAATCATTTTTAAAGGTAAACAGTGAATACTGTTCTTGGTTGTTGCTCATTGTGCAGCATGTCTTTCCACATCTTAGTCCAGTGAGTACTTTGCTTGGGAGCTTTCATTTCTGCACCTGTAAAGAGTAAATAATGCACAAGTATCTATTACTAAAGGTCTATCTGAATGCACCAAACTGAATGAAAGTAAATGTATATTTATTGTATCAACGCACATGTTGTTTGAAAGACTATTTACTTATTATTATTTTCCCATTTAATTCTAGCACATTAAGTGGCTGTGTCCAGTATGATTGAAATTGAAAGTGTGTATCATCCTAATTAAAGAGATAGTTTACCCAAAAATGAAAATCATTTACTTCCTTTATGTCGTCTACACGTGACAAACCTGTTGGTTTTGATTACCAGAATTCTTCAAAGTATCTTCTTTTGAGTTCTGCAGAAAAACAAAAGTCAGGGGTTTGAAAAAAAAAAAAATGAGGGGGAATTGATGTAATAATGTAAATGATGACAGAATTCTGGGTTAACTATACTTTTAAGTAAATTAGTAGAAACACTTTTCGCTAGTTATCACTGTGCAGAAAAATAACAGTGAATGCAACAATAAAATGCTTGAAAAATACACATGCAATAGATCCATAGCTTCCTGTTGGTCAGTTTGTCTCCTCAGTTAAGATTCCCCCAATTATTGCAGAAAACATGATATTACATAGTATAATCATGGCCAGTGCAGACATGTACTTGAACTTACTTTCTCATTAAACAACTAAAAATAAATTTAGACAGCCTTTGCACACAGGCTTATGTGGAAAACAACAAAATTGAACCTCAAGGTTGATCTAGGAAAATGTGTGCAAATGTATAGGGCCCCATTCCTATATTTGGCCCCCAATTCACTTAATCCGCCCCTGTGTGTATGTATAGTCCAGTATTGAACTGTTGGAGTTAAAGTGCAGTGTGTGGCATACCGTATTGTGGGAGTATGCTGTAGGGTGTATTAGTTCTGACTGCTCATTAGTCTGATAGCCTGAGGGGAAAAGCTATCCCTCAGTCGGCTAGTGC